TGTGATGGGACTGTTTGTGTGCTAATTAGTGTTTTCTTACCTTTTTTCTTTTGTTTCTTTCTGAGTATGCTTGTCTGTGCTGTACTGTTTGGCACAAAACAAAAAGTTAAGCAGTATTTGTGTTTGCCATGGGCAGGTGCAGAGTGTTAAACCTGCACCGTAACCACCTGGTGTGTCTGCGTCAGCTGCCAAAGCTCCCCGCAGTGGAGCACCTTTGTCTGTCTGAGAACGCCATTGGTTCCCTGGGGGGACTGGGAGCTCTGGGGAACAGCCCACTCCGTTCCCTGAACCTGACCCGCAACCCAGTGACCTTCACTCAGGACTACCGTGCACGGTAATCAGACTGTACCAGAGGCTGAACTCAGTTCTGCTTAGTATTAATTAAACCACTACTGGTTACAAATAGAGTGTGAATATGTGAAATAGGCAAAGTAAAAACACCAACATTTATCACGTTTTGATCATTTTGTCCCATTTCAGCCCCCGCCTATCCAAACATCCACTCACTTCCACAAACAAATCACTCCCTGTTGTAGTCCTTTTAACTGAGTGCATTGCTGCCAGTTCCTCTATAATCGCCAACATTTATGTTGTCCCAGTGGCTGTGTTGGACATCACAGCTCTCGTATTAAGCCCAGGAGGAAAAAGCTCAGACTGAAGCTCCAGATTTCCCACAACTTCCTTAATTCATCTTGTTTACCTTAATACAGTAGAGTCTACCAAAGTCTTTATGAACTCCCCATCAGAGAATGACTTAGTGGGGGTCAATCTTGGTCTTGACTGGTCCATCCCTGGATAAAAGATTCAGATGTCTGTTCCCGCTCTTCATCTGTCACATTCTTGTTCAGTTTCGTAATGAAGTTCAAAATGCAGTCCCTAACACTGTAATGCCAAGTTTATTGTTTAACACCTGGAGGCGTCTTAAAAATGCATCCACCTTTGTGCTTAACGACAATAAATGTCCTTAAGACCCTCCAGGGGTTAAAAAAACAAAACAAAAAAAACTGCAGTTTCAAAATAAAAGCATCAGTTGTATTGTGATTTTGCAAAAAAACATTAAGTTGGTCTCTAACGGGGAGTTATTCAAAGAGTGTTTGGTGACTGAAGTGGGACAAACTGTGTGATGTGTAATTTTTTATGTGTGCATCCTAATTTCCCATCGACCTGGAGACAACCAAAGGGCCGGATATTTCCTGTAGGCCATACAATGCCCAGGTCTGCTCTAGAGGATAATGTCTGTGTATCTATAAACTAATTTATACTCATTTTCTGTCTCTCTTCATTTTCAGTGTTTTCTCCTGTTTGCCAAATCTCGAGGTCCTGGATGGAATCCCCAAGCTGCCAGAAGACTTGCTGCCCCCCAGTTTACTGCTCCCAGAAACCAGCAGGATGTGTAATATTTTGTGACATTCCTCCGTGGTAGCCTGCACTTTGAAAATGTCAGCTTTCAGAGATCTCCTCTGAGGGAAAGTGGCCAGGTAACATTTAAATGAAGGACTTATTTACACAAACTGTCATACTTACTGCCGTTAAGGTCACGGGTTGAGGCATTAAGAAGAATAATCGTAAGGTAATGCTTTTAGTACCAAGTAACAACTACCAGTATATTACTGATATTTTTAAATTTAGATTTATATACAATTTACAGCTATTTTGATAATAAACAGAAAATACCATCAAGACTTTCAAGTGTTTATTTTTTATATTAATTTTTACAGATATACAGACGGGTGATTCTAACAAACTCTGGATTTGAAGGGAAGGAAAGCAAGCTAATCAGACTGCTACATGACTCATTGCTCGGCATCTCTCAGTGCTTTGCTGAGCCGACACGCTTACACTCCTGCTTCTGCTGCAGCAGAAACATACAGGGGAGGATTTTATTAATATTAATATTATTATTATTATTATCATCCTACTGTCTTAACTATGAAAAAAAGCAATTCCGGGGAACTAAAATTTAATTTCTTTTTAAACTGTAGCTGCAACTTTAGATTACACATGTTTGCATGACATGTGTATTATATGAGAGGAGAAACAGGACATCCGCTTTAGAGGCTTATCAAACATTTAGTGTCCAGACTCCCTCGGATAATGGCTTCTTGTGTCCTCAGGCTGACTGGGTAATGACCCAACAAACACACACCCACGTACAACTTGCACACACAAAAAAGTAGATAAAAAGAAATCGGTGGCTTGAAAAGCACTCACACTGACAGGATTTAATACCTGCTAAAAGTACGTGTGCTCTTGACATTGTAAAGCGGTTTGGATAAAAGGGTGAAGTCAATGACACGTGCACTGTTCTAGATAAACGGTGCTGCAGGGGTTACGGCTTAGATATTGATTTATTCATACATCATGGGAGCCTGTTCTCTTGTAATAATGGATTCACTTTCAGTCTGCACCTGCAACATAAACACATTTTGCCATGTGATACTGCAGAACATGATTATGAATACCGCCGCACACGCATCCCGAGCAGCCACCTATGCACATAATGGGAAGCAGCTGCATTCTCTTTATAATAATAATATAGTAATACAGAGAAACAGAAGCTGATATCTCTCTAACAAGCGTACAGCCAGGCACAAGCTACCAGTTACATGCTTCATTGGGGTTTGTTTAAGTGTGGAAGATTGTTTGTGCAATTGTGTGTTATGCGCGCCGAAGTCTCCAGCTGATGAATGAGAGTTCGTTACTGGTGTAAGGAGACAGTGTGATCTGCTCGATGCATCTGTATATGTACTGCAAGCTGGATACGGGTTAAGAGGAAAAGTTAAGGTATTATCGATAATCTCTGCAGACAGTATTCGATGCCAGGACTTCTTTTGCAGTGTGACAGTAAAGCAGAAGATGGAATTGTTTTGTTGTTGTTTTTTTCTCTGAGGGTAGAAAAAGAACACATATTGCTTCGAGCTTTAGCTTTATGTAAGTTTTGAACTGGTGTTAAATGGAAGATTTGGTCATTTGTGGCAACTGTGTGGGCATTCGTCTCAAGAATTATTTATGCCTGGTGATTCACACGTGAAATGACTGAATATAAGGGAATGGTGGAGGAGTTGTCATCTCTGCATTGGTTCTTATAAAAATATATGTGTGGACATCTTCCTGTGGCCTGTTATTAGCGCAATGATGAGACACCTGTTACTGTTGTACTCCTCCAGCATCCTGCAGTCCCTCTGTGGAGCGGATGGGGTGATGACAGGAAAAGGAAGGGAGGGCACAGCGAGAGGCAGAGGAACAAGTACTGTGATGGAGATGGGAACAGAGAGCGTAAATAGAGACTGAGGGGAGGAGGGTTGATCTGATTGAGACTGTGTGCTAGGGACAAACGTAGTTCATTAGAGATAATTGCCTTTCTCCGTCGACCCCCTCTCGTTTGATTTTCATTTCGTCCTGATTTGCCGGTTCATTTCCCATGTGAGTGAGCTCACATACACATGGCCTTCTTACCTCTCAGCTCAGAGTGGTAGATAAGGAGCAGAGCTAGAACATTTGGGAACATTTGTGCTGTGTCATACAGATGTGAACCAGAGCCTGACTGGCACAGTTTGGACAGTGTTGCAGTTTATTTTGCTCTGTGCACCACCATAATAGATTTTTAAGATCGAGCAATCAAGATGTGAATGAAGTACAGACACTCAGCTTTAATTCAAGGCCTTTAAGAAAAGTATTGCATTACGTATTTAAGAATTACACCCATTTTATACACAACCCACAATTTCTAGGGGTAATGGTTATACACACTGTAGTGGGAGACCACACCACAACCAAAATGTTTGTGCCATTTGGGGTGGCTCGAATGTCAAGATACTGAACCCCGAGTTATATTGAAAAAAAAATGCTTGTATGTGTGTGTGAATGGGGTCACTAACAAACTCATCGCCTTTGAAATGGCGGGGACCAGGTCTGTGACCACTCGCAGTCAGCTGCCATCTTCAGAGTGATTTTGGTGCAAGTCAGCTGACATAGTTGCTGCAGAACTGCGATTTAACTGCAAAATAGCATAGGCACTCAGTGACTGTGCTTTTATGTTGGAACACAACAATAGAACCACTTGGCAGCAAGTTGACTCAAACCCCCTGATGTGTAACAGACGACTTGCCCTCAGTCACGTAGTAATTCAGAGTAAATTCAACATGTTGGCAATCTGTGTGTTTATAAATTAGACAACAGTTATTTCTGGCTGAGTGACTGCATTCAGTCCAAGTCGGACTGATTGTTTAGAGAAAGCCTGCCTCCCACCAGTTGACCCGTGCAATTTCCTTGCAAGTGAAAGTGGTCGCTACTACTTCCAATCGGTCTCCAACAGCAAAGTGATTAATGCAATCAGATTTTTTCCAACTTGCAAGGTTGGCATCTTTTTTTCACTCAAGTGTGACTAAGCTGTTAGATCAGAGGTGTCGAACTCCAGGCCTTGAGGGCCGGTGTCCTGCAGGTTTTAGACATCACCCTGGGTCAACACACCTGAATCAAATGATTAGTTCATTACAAGGTTTCTGGGGAACTTCAAGACATGTTGAGGAGGCAATTTAGCCATTTAAATCAGCTGTGTTGTATCAAGGACACATCTAAAACCTGCAGGACACCGGCCGTCGAGGCCTGGAGTTTGACAGCCGTGTGTTAGATAATCGATCAAAGGTGCAAATCCTAAGTGACCTACTGATGGGAAAACAGGGTAGGTGAGAGTAGCCAAAGCTGAAATAACCCAAAAGTTAACAAATGGATAAAATAATAATAATTTAGATCATTTATGTAGTTTCTATATTTTAATTTTGTTTAAAAATAATACAAATTTTTACCAGAATATTCAGAAAGACTCTTAAGATGAAGTCTTAGATGATTGTAACAAGCTGATTGACCCTCACACCTCCACCACCTTCCTCACACTCACTCAGAGTGTTAAAATTGCTCAACCACCACTGATGACTTATTAGCAACCTTAAAGTGCATTTTCAAAGAGGTGAATATACAGAATCAGACTACACAGATCACAATTATGTGAAATCTTCTTTATTCCACACAGGCAGCAATTCAGTACAATGAAACCCACACTTTTCTGTATCAAATATAACTGGTGTACAAATGTACAAATATTCAGCATTTATTTTACTATACATTGCCCAGCAGACTAGAGAAGCTGCAGTAAATTAAGAGTAAATTCCCATCAGCAGTGGACATGAAATAGTTCTCCATTAACAGCCATGCTGAATAAAGCTTAAGGATCACCAACTGGTGTGCTCTTCTCGCTCCCACCTCATCAAAAATGATTTTCCAAATGTAAAATGACCTAAAATGACTTAGGAGAACGGAAAGGCACATGTCACAGTGAGCAGCTTCACCAGAAGTGGCTTACCGATTGGCATCTGTAATAATATCCAGGATATTTTTTTTAATGCACCAATGTATCAGCTTTACAAAACTGGTAAGGATCACGATAACACAGACTTTTAAAAATCAAAATTTTGCACTTTTTATGATTGTCAGAGTTCGTCCTATTAAAAAATAAATAACAGAAAATGACATTTGAGTTCTACTGTGATTACAACTGTCTGCATGAAACATATATATATGTATGAAGGCCTGATCATGACATCAGAATAAACATGCATCCTTTACACACACACACACACGCTCAAACAAAGCACTTTGATAAACAAAATACATTCTCTGCCTGCTCTTAAAAACAAGAACTACCAGGCAGTCAGGCAGACGAGAAAGTAGACGGAAAATTAAATGAATAAAAATTATATAAAAACTATACAGTATAGATCTCATTTACACCCACCAAATTTTGTCCATTTCCACAGTGTCAGCTGATCCTTTCAAATCTCAGAAGTGTTTGAAATATTGTCCCCCATCTTCTGAGCATAATATCCCAGTTTTCTCTCACTGGATGGCTGGTGCTATTCCTTTGGAATTCAAGGGAAAGAATGCCCTGATTGGTACTATAGGCAAGCTTTAAAAACAAAACAAAAAGGCACTTCTACATTTCTGCCCTTTGATCGTTTCCCTTGTCTGCATCCTCCTCCCCCTCCTCTTCTTCCTCCTCGTAATTCACGTCCTCGTTATTCTTGGCATCATTTCTGTGATCCCCGTCCATTCTTGGCCCTTCATGGTTTTTGCCTTTATCCTGGAAGCGAATTACAAGCACACAACCTGATTTAATGACCAGGAGTCATGTAAACACGATCATTTCAGACATTTACAGTTAGTGTTTGCCTCCTGTGCAGCGATGCATGAATGAAGCTTAGATCCACTGAGCTCCTGTTGCAGAGGAGGTAAGTGGCAGTATGAACTATAAGTCTATCAATGTGATTTTTTTTAATGAAGTCTTTTTTTTGAATATATTAAACATTAAAGATGATAAATGATAATCGCTCTAATCGGTCTCCAAGGTCAGAAGTTACTGTTAGTTACAGACCAGCTGACAGTGAGGAGTCAGATGTCTTTCTCAAGGATATTTCAGCTCTGTGGACGGCTGGTTTTCAAAAGGTTTCAATGTTTTGCAGACTTTATAAAGACTGAATAAATATCTCAAACCAATTAAAATACCACATAACAGGAGTATTAAGGCTTATAGACTTTGTCATATATTGAGACTTCCTTATATGCCAAATTAAACCAAATGCAGGCGAACACATGACACTCCGACTGACTCGACATCCTATCTTTCTCATTTACCGTGAGTCACATGGGCCAGGGTTTACATTACAGAGACAGCACAGTGTGCTCTGACACACTCGAGCTACACACCAGTGAATCCCTGCACAGGTGAATATATTTCTGGATGTGAACCCAGAACATTTCGCTGTGTGCACCTCGACCGTTTTCCTCCAGGAAAGGTTTCAGGGTGTGATGTTACTTGTGAGGTGGAACGGAACCTGATGTGATGATGCTGGGAATAAAAATGAATTCCACATTTGTGCAGGTTAAATGGGAAACGGGAGGCCTAGGAAGTAAAGCGGATTGTGAGGTTGGTGGTTTCAGCTGCAGGGAAGACTGCATGAGCAGAGAGTAAACTTCAAGCGATGTGAAGAAAAATCTTTAACTCCTTGACCAGTGGAAACACCTTAGAGTATTTTTTAGTTTTAAAATAACCATCCTGTAATAGTAAAGCCATTGAAATTGTTATTTAACAGACAGTGTGTCGTAATTCTTTGATCTAAGGACGATACTTTTCTGTCTTAACCAAGCAGCAGCTTTAACGGGAGTGCAGTACTTCTAATGACCAGTAGATCCTGATTTCAAAAAAAAGTAAGCACTGACATCAACAAAACCTCCGATTTTCCTTTTTAAAGAGAGACTGTATTTTTAGATCCATCATATTAAGGTGTAGGTTTAATGTCCAGGCAATAGCTGAATTTAAAGATAATCTACATAGTCGCAGTACCAAAATGGTTAGCGAGTGACTAGACTTGCTTCCAGAAGGGACTTTGTTTGAAAGCAGGAAACCCATTACGTTTTTCTTATTTCTCTTATTTGTGCCTCCTTGTCTCCTCGGCCCTCCTGGAAATCATGCCTAGATGAGGAGGGCAGAGGAGAAAGGAGCTATAACCCAGGATACACAGGTCTTTTAACCTTTATGGCAAACAGCAGGGGATGACTCTTTAAATGTTTGACCTTTTAAAATCACACGTTTCAGTTATTTAAGACGATTAAACCATGTGCATGACTACATGTCACATGTAGTAACATTACTCCATGTTCAGAATTTCATCAAAAATGGCCTAGTTTTAAAAAAAAAAGTCACGACACTGAGATGCAAATGTATTGCAGCATTATATTATACTAAACCATATTCATTTAGTTTTGATAGTCTTACATTCAAGTGTTTTGCACCACTCTACTATCACTCAGTACGAAAGGCATGTGTGTGAGCATGCACGTTACCTCATCTTCCGCTTCCTCCTGGTACTGGTCATCCAGTGTGTCCTCTTGCTGGTCTGGATTTCCAGCTATCTGAATGCACACAAATCACAGAACAAGTTAAAACAGGATATAAAGTTTACTTTTCATCATAGATCCTGCGGTTTCTCTCTCTCACTTAATATATATTTATATTAAGGTGCACCTCGCCATGCAGTCTGGCTATAAACATTTTTGAAACAATGGGTCTCTCTGAAGAGCTCACTGAATGATTAACATCCGCACAAAGCTCAGCACTTTATACTGTATAGTGCATCTCTAGTTCTCAAACTTTCATGGCTTGCTTCAGTATGCCATTCTGAGCTCTGTATGTGTGTGTGTGCACGAATTTAGTCTGAAGCTGCCAACAAGCCCCTCCTCTTCCATTGTTGGCATTTTCAAAACCTCTAATCATCTTCCTGTTCAGCCCGTAATGTTGCTGTAATGTCAGTAGCTGCGTGTGCAGATGCTGAATAGACTGTCGCCTCCCCTGACTCACCACCAGTTCCTCCTCCACAGTCGGTTTGAGGTTTTGATGCATTTGAATGTGCTGGGCCGGCGCTGCAGGCTCCTCTTCCTCTTCAGCCGCATTTTCATCTGCTTCGGCAGCGCGGTGCGGCAGCCGGGCGTCCTCGGCCTCGTCAAACTCATCCTCTCCCTGGTTGTTGGGGTCGTCCTCAGGGTTCAAGTCACCGTCTATGTCACCCTATAGCAAAATAACACATTTAGAATAAGAGCTGTGGATATGATAAAATGAGTATGTTTTTGCTGGAAATAAAACTGTCAACCTGTCAGTTTCCTGTAATGTTTTATTAATTCTCTGGCTAGTATTCAGAAGATTTACCAGCTCAGTAGGTTGACAGACAAGTGCGGGTAGAGAGGGAACAGATGAATATGGAAGTGGGCTGGGGTGATTAAAGAATCGATGTTCTGATGGATGGCTGAATGAGTGTATGGCGTATGATAGACCGGTGTGAATCTTAAGCAAGCGAATGAGCTGGGAGGACAGAGAGAGCCCGAGGATGTTTTAACAGATGGAGCGAGCAAGACGGCAAGACAGACAGACAGACATCCACCTGCTGATGTGGCGGCACTCTGTGATCCGTCTCTCGATTCTCCTCCGCCTCCTGCTCGTGCAACATATGAACGTCTCTCTCTGTTAACACACAGACGCAACACACAAACTAAATCCACTACCATCAACCGGCTGCTTCTGTGAGCTCTAATGATTGAAGGGAATATTTGTGCAGTGAGAAATATGGAAGACGTTTTCCTGCAAATCTCACCTTCATCAACCTCAGCGTGACCGTCGTCTTCTCGAATATCATTGTCCACATTCTCGTATTCAGTCCTCTTCCTAATAACCGAGACGAGTACAGTGCAAGTAAGTACAGGCACGTGTTCTTCTGTAAAGCTATTTTATTAATTCATTGGGAGAAATGTAATAAGAAAATATGCCGCGGTTCAAAGTTTACTACTCGCTGCGACTGCTCCGTTTCCTTAAAACCTGACCTCTCGTGTTCTTCTCTCAGGATCTGCTCCCGTCTGTCGGCCTCCCTGTGCTGCTGCTGCTCACGTTCCTGCTCCACCTTCAGCCTCTGCTCCCTGTCCTTCAGCACCCTCTCCCTCTCGGCCTGGAGGGCCTCCTGCCGCCTCTGGATCTGCCTGCCCTCCTCTGCCCTCTGAGCCTGCAGCCGCTGCTGCTCCTGCTGCTGCTCATAGGCTGACTTTAGATGCTGAACCTGGGGGGGCACCTTGTGCTGCAGCCGGTCCTCCGGATGCAGATTCACAGGAGGATCCTGAGAGAGTTATAAATACAAGAGAGAGGAAATATCATGTAAAGCATGAAAAAAGTGAATTAGAGCTCATCAAACGCACTGAATTGATGCCAAGTTTAGATATAAATATAAAGCAATCTTTGTGTGTGTGTGTGTGGGGGGGG